CCATTGGACTTGTATAGCCGTATTATTATGGTCACAGAATACCATCATCACTGTATATAAGAGCAATAAGCAACCACGGCTGCATTCCCTGCAATTGAATGGGTAAAGAGAAGGTGAAACTTCTTTCAAACAGCAGGAGAGTCATCCTGTAACGAGGGAATTTATATGGGGCAAACATATTTAAGAAACATAGAATCATAGTTTGTGTTGGAAGGGACATTCAAAGGTCATCTAGTCCAGCCCCCCTGCACAGACATTTCAAATAAACTTGTTCTAGGTTAAATGCAATTTCTTACTTGTTAATGCATTATTGGCCCATTCTGAAATCTTACTGACGTCCTTTTTATGTATTTACCAATCCTTCTGTTCTTCTGCAGCATGTTCTGAGGATTAAAGAACAAGTCTTTCTCTCCCTTTCCATCAAGATCAGCTTTTTACCTCACATGGAAAAGATTTCTTACAAGAATGTTTAGCTGTGGCTTCTGGCAAGCACCAAACTAGAACTCTCCACAGGCCTCCTAACAGGTAGCTAATGCTGGGCCCTCTGTGCTGCTCTGGTGACCATTAGCCTGTTGGCTTAAAGTTAGCATCTTTGCATTATAGCAACACAAGAGAATGCTAAGCATCAGTAGTACAACAGTGTTTTGTTAAAAAGAACAGTTGGAGAAATCCTGAATTGACTCTTAGGTTTGAATGATCTTTATGTGCAAATTTATGAAGCAGGTTTCTCACATCAGATACATAAATAATGGTATTTGAGCATAAAGCCAATTTCTAGATGAGTAAAATGGCCTCTTTCTGTCTTAAAATGTATGACTACATCACCTGCTTTTCAGTCATGCAAGGAGAAAAAAGTTCACAATGTTATTGTGATCCTGGTCAGCTGGTTATTTTTAGCTTGAGCTTGCACATTTAGCAAACTCCCACAAGAGGGAACATTTTTTACCTGCAGCTGATCAGCATTCAGAGCTGCATGATGCCATCCATTTAAGCATCAAACCAGCTATTTCAGTCTTATTTTTGCAACCAAATACTTGTTCAGTACTGGGGAAAAGGTGCACTCATAAGAAATGGCATAATGTGTTTCTGATTTCAAAAGCTAAATGCAAATACTGATTTATGAAGCCTCTGGCACTGAGTAATAACCACATAAACATTAGCATATGTATCCTCTGTCAATAATGGCTGTAGCCATTAAAATTATCCTAGAGTAAAGAATGGAATTTTCACTGTATTTATTAAGGTTTCTTTTAATTTTTTCATCTCTACATAGTTAAAATTTTACTAGAAGCTCCTATTCAACTCTAAACCCCATTCTAGTTAGGGTTACATTTTAGGATAGGCAGGATCTCTTCTAATTGTGCTTGATCACTTATAGAATCATAGAATATTTAGGGTTGGAAAGGACCTTAAGATCATCTAGTTCCAACCCCCCTGCCATGGGCAGGGACACCTCACACTAAACCATGTCACCCAAAGATTTGTGCAACCTGGCCTTGAACACTGCCAGGGATGGAGCATTCACAACTTCCTTGGGCAACCCATTCCAGTGCCTCACTACCCTTGCAGTAAAGAACTTCCTCCTTACATCCAATCTAAACTTCCCGTGTTTAAGTTTTAACCCGTTACCCCTTGTCCTATCACTACAGTCCCTAATGAAGAGTCCCTCCCCAGCATCCCTATAGGTCCCCTTCAGATACTGGAAGGCTGCTATGAGGTCTTCACACAGCCTTCTCTTCTCCAGGCTGAACAGCCCCAACTTTCTCAGCCTATCTTCATACGGGAGGTGCTCCAGTCCCATGATCATCATCGTGGCCCTTCTCTGCACTTGTTCCAACAGTTCCATGTTCTTTTTATCTTGAGGACACCAGAACTGCACACAATACTCCAAGTGAGGTCTCACAAGAGCAGAGTAGAGGGGCAGGATCACCTCCTTCGACCTGCTGGTCAAACTCCTTTTGATGCAGCCCAGGATACGGTTGGCTTTCTGGGCTGCGAGCGCAAACTGAAGCCAGCTCATGTTCATTTTCTCATTGACCAGCACCTTCTCCACAGGGCTGCTCTGAATCTCTTCTCTGCCCAACCTGCAGCTGTGCCTGGCACTGCTCCGACCCAGGTGTAGGACCTTGCACTTGGCATGGTTAAACTTCATAAGGTTGGCATCAGCCCACCTCACAAGCATGTCGAGGTCCCTCTGGATGGCATTCCTTCCCTCCAGGGTATCAACCGAACCACACAGCTTGGTGTCATCGGCAAACTTGCTGAGGGCGCACTCAATCCCACTGTCCATGTCACTGACAAAGATGTTGAAGAAGATCGGTCCCAACACTGATCCCTGAGGGACACCACTCGTTACTGGTCTCCAGCCGGACACTGAGCCATTGACCACAACTCTTTGTGTGCGGCCATCCAGCCAGTTCTTTATCCACTGAATGGTCCATCCATCAAATTGATGTCTCTCCAATTTAGAGACAAGGATGTCGTGTGGGACAGTGTCTAACGCTTTGCACAAGTCCGGTTAGATGACATCAACTGCTCTACCCCTGTCCATCAGTTCTGTAACCCCATCATAGAAGGCCACCATATTGGACAGGTAGGATTTCCCCTTAGTGAAGCCATGCTGGCTGTCACCAAGCACCTTGTTGTTTTTCATGTGCCTTAGCATGCCTTCCAGGAGAATCTGCTCCAAGATTTTGCCAGGCACAGAGGTGAGACTGACTGGTCTGTAATTCCCTGTATCATCCATTTTCCCCTTCTTGAAAATGGGGGTTATATTTCCCTTTTTCCAGGTGTCGGGAACTTCACCTGACTGCCATGAGTTTTCAAATGTGATGGACAGTGGCTTAGCAACTTCATTCGCCAGCTCCTTCAGGACCCACAGATGGATTTCATCAGGTCCCATGGACTTGTGCACGTTCAGGTTCTTAAGATGGTCTCGAACCAAATCCCCTTCTACAGTGGGCCTAAGGTCTTCACTGATTGCTTCTTAACCTGCCTGAGGAGGTTCACACCCCAAAAGGTTCATCTTTCTCCCTACCTAGCTAGCCAGAAAGAGGTAACCCAGGGTAATGCCATGTTAACATCTGGAAAGGCTTGGAAGTATGCTCTACAGTTTAATATTATTATATACCTTAACAGAGTCATGTGGGGAATGTTCTCAGAAGGATCCTCACAAAAAACCCTCCTTCTGCTTGCTGGTGTCTCCTGAATTCATTCCAACTTCAGGGTGAGATGCTGTCTGAATTAGTGGATATATATAAGGAATCATAAGAACAGAGAGGGACAACCCAATGCTTTGTTTAATTACTGCACTGCACAGGTGTTACAGTTGATTAGAAAGGTGAACTTCAGTCCAATATTTAAATTGTTCATTGTTTACCAGGAAAGAGCCAAACTCTCTTTTCTTCCCTTCAAAGGCAAGGCAGCCTACTGAGCATTTGTAAAATATCTTTCTTTTTCTCTTTTAGTCCTTCTTGTAGATACTCCTTGATAATACTATGGTAAATTCATAGTTTTTCAAACCTCACATCAAGGGGATTCTGTCATTCACTTTGCAGTTGCTGAAGGTGCTGAGCAATGCATTTGTCAGAGACTTCTTGAGGTCCCAGTGTGCCATTTTCCATTCTCATTCTTTTTAAAGATTTCCTGAAATCTCCTGCCTCCTGTCCACTTCCCTCTCAAGAACTCCCTGCCCTTTTTCCTAGAATCCCAGTCTAGTATCCTTAATTTTTAACTCCTTGCCAAAGTTTCTGTATGTGTTCTAGGTGGTTCTTTCTTACCCTCATTCCCACAGAAAGTACTTCCATTCCCTACTTTCATGTTTGCATTTCTCTTTTCCGACTTCCCTCAAACATTTTTTTTTTCTTTTTTTTTTTTTTAGGTCATTCAGGATGCTGATGTTTAAAAACTGCACAGTACACATCAATAGGGAGATGATGAAACTACTATTCCTCTGGAAGGTGTTACTGGCTGGCAAAACCTGAGACATCCATCTGCCTTCAGTTACAAAGGCACTTGAAGCTGCTGGGTATCTGACCGCAATGTCAGATATCCACAGAATCCAAATTTTTCTATATTTCTATCATTTTCTCCTCCAGCTTCCATTGATCCCAGTAGCTGCTTAGGGGTTGAACTCAAAAGTTCTGTTACATTATATACAGCAGAGGAATAAGAGCACATAGGTGGGAGACCAGCTTTGCTAAGTCAGCAAAATCATTGAAACTTGAGAACGTTAGAAAGTTCTTAACAGACAAGGGATACATAATCTGACACAGATGCCAAAACAACCCTCACCCAACCCCCTCATTGTTAGTTGCTCCAAGTAACTAAGTCTGATTTTTGGGGAGATGTTAGCTTTAAATCTAAACAGAATAGTAGTACTTGTAATTTTGTATGCCCAGATATCCCCTTTATGTACTTGGTGCTTCTTAAAATAAGTTTAACAATACTCCTTACAAAAAGTATGCCCTAACATGTAAAAGCTGATAGATGTATGAATTAATTCTGATGTCTTATTGAAGGCTATGCAACATTCATGGACGTTGGTCTGTCCTCTTCCATTATATTTAAGGAAACGTATGTGACTAATAATAGTTACTATTTTTTTTTGAGATTCTTCTTTCTATTTTCTAAATTGAACCAAACCACCTGTTTGGTGGGTGTCAGATTATTATTTTTGTGACTTGTTGTTTGGACTGAAGCTGGGCTTTGGACTGACTGTACAGTGCGGCATTCTTATCTGACATTCAGGTTTGTAGCGTGGTGTTACTGTGAACACCCATTATGGATAATTATCTGTGTGAGAAGGAATCAATAATGATTGTGATTCGAGTGTAAGCATCTTAACTGGCAGTTAAAGAATAGACTGTATAGGAGTCTTGCAATTAGGAATGAACAGGTGGAGAAAGTTAGTTAATGTAAACTTGTGCTCTCACTTGTACAGCATATCTTTTCCTTTTGGCTTCCATGTCCATTTTGAAGTCAAACTCCAGTCAGAAGGAAATGTTTAGTGCATTTACTGACCCCCCTAGCCATCAGAGGAAAAGTTTACCATGTTCGTCCTGAAAAGCCCCATGTCAGCACAATTACAGACATGCCAGGTGCCAAACACTAGTGCCCCTGGCAAGGGCAGGCCAGGCAAAAACGAGTAAAACTGGATCTGGTAGCATCAGCTCTTCCTATGCATTCCTGCTTCTGTGTCCCTGCCTCATCTGTCATATGTGGGAAAAGTACCACTTTTATCATCAATGCTCTCCAAAGCGCAGATTTTTTTTAAATTTTGTGAATATTCCTGTGAGTAAAATTCAATTGCTGGATGGGTTTTGGTAAATAAACACAGAACAACCATGAATGCTGCTCAAGCGAACTAAAGCAATACTGCTGGGAAGTGTTTGGTTTAGTAGTGGGGTGTTTTAATGCTCAGTACTTCAAGAAAGCAACTAAGACATAAACTCTTAGGCCTGGTAAGAGTTGGTGTACTTCTGAACCATCAGGGAAGTTAATTGGTTACGTATTAACTGCAGTCCCAAGTATACAGACTGTTAATGCCCAAGAGACATGTTTCATTTCCCTTATACAAAGCATTCTTTCTGCTCTCACACGAACAGCTCCCATGTCCATGCTGTAGCGTTTATAGTTGCATTAGGATGACTATATGCACTGGACTAAAACTACATAACATTTATTCAGAGTGACAAAATGGCAATACCAGATACTCTTCCCCCCTTTTCACCTTGGTTCCTGTTGTGATATTCAGCAGAGCACCTATCAAAACCAGCTGGACAATCAAAAGGTTTTAGTGGCATCAGTATCTTGACAGACATCCTTAAGGTATTTCTGTTAAATTGCTATTGGTTTCTTCAAGCTAATCATTCTTCTTTAAATCTGAAAAGTTCTGTCATTGGAAAAACACTGAAAAGAAAAAGGAACAAAAAAAGTTTCTTAAATCTTACTTGCAAACCCTAATGAGAAAAGAAAAAAATAGAAATCTGTCATCTCATTCAGAAGAAAGAAAAAAATGCTAGTTTTTTTTTAAGTGAAATAAATGCTTTCCCTAAACATGATCGCAGTTGACAAAATGCTGAATGTTTAGGTGGCAATTATAGCTCTTTCAGAGACTGTCAAATCTTGTCACAACACATGTTATAAATGAGGACAGATTTAGACATCCTTTCTGACAGTTATGTGTGGGATGTGGATGGTTGGCAGTTAAATTTCAAATGCAGGGAAATTTTCCTTCCAATAGATCTTTGCTTGTTTATTAAGAGGGAGTTACCGTGCACTGAATCTTGTATCTACCATGTGCAGCTTTTCTTCCGTACAGCATTTGACATTTCACTTTAACTTTCTTTGTGACAGCCATCTGAACACTGTTTTGGGTAAAAAGTAGCCTACGGTGCTCTGGAGATGTATGCAATTTTCAAAGCTCTTGATGTTTTCATAGTGAGATTAGAGCAGGAAATGTGTCATATTATACATAGATGGGTAGAGAGCAAGAAAGCAAATAACAGAAACTGCGACAATACTGATTGAAGGGAGCAGCTTCATAATGCACACAGAAAGTGGGATAATGCACTAGCCCACATTCATCACAAGACATGTAAAATGTTGATGAAGTATTAGTAATAACAAAGTGGGTTGTAAAGCACAGTTCATGTGATGATAAACTATTCAGGTGTCACTAAAGGCTAAACCTCACATTGATTTCAAACTGTTTCTGATGTGGCCAAATGGCATGGGGAGAAGAGAGAAAAGAGGAATCATACTGCCATGAGCAAGAATCCTGTCTAGGTCAGACAGAACATTTTTGGAAGCTCTGGCAGCAAGCATGCTGAAACAGCCTTAATATCACTTTTGATGAGTGGAGCATAAGCCTGACTGCAGCAGCCTCAATCTGCTACCCAGCACAGTGACAAGCTTTGCATTCACCCTTTCTGCAAAGGTCAATGCAAAGGTGGGAAGGACAGCATCTCCCAGTCAGATTATGTCCAGCATACACTGCATTATATACAGTAGTGGAGAGAAGGGAGCTGTAGCTCCTTTAGTCCCTGCTCCAAGTTTTAATAATCCGTTCAAGCTCTTGGAAGTATCTCCTCCCGGAAGAAACTGGTAAGAGGAAAAAAACAAAAATTGTTCAGCTATTTCATAGTCTACTTACACTTCCATATAACATGTTACAGACTTTTATGAATGGTGGTGTATAAAATCCCAGTGAATTAGGTAAGTGTTATGCTAGCATTTCACGGAGCTTTTGAAGAAGGAATGTCTATGATATCAGGACCTTGCGACTTCTACTTAGCTATAGTAGCAGCCAAACATAACAGAATTATTTGCGTTTACTGTTAAGCAGATATTTGAGTAGTTTGCTGGACCGGGATCAAAGTGCTCATTGCATTGGAGGACTGAACCCATAAACTGGAACACTGTGGGCAGCTATACGTTTTGCAGAGCTGAAGTTTTTGTACTTTCTATTTTTCTAAGAGTGACAGTGTTATGTAACTTGCATATAGATGTGTTCATTCCTAAGGATCAAAAAATATTCAGAAATATTTGTGAAATTCCATCTCGAGTAGTACAGCTTAAGTCCTTGAATTCTGAATGGGTATCTCTTATGTTTCTGTCTGGACACAGACCATTCACTTCGCCCTAATGACATGCTTCCAAATAAATGCTTGCTATTTCACAAATGTGAAAATAAATTTACTGTTTCAATGTTCCAGGACATTGGCATTTATTGGCTCATTTGGGAAAACAACAGACTCACGTGGGTTATTTATACTCTATTTGAATACTGTTTGGAAAACAGGTACCAGCATCTCACATCTCAGTGCTCTTCATGAACAGGGCTATATATTCCCAGGCATCTTCCCTTCTATTCCCTTGTATGAAAAAATCTTAAGGGGTAGAAGATTACAGGAAATCTCAAGTATACGTAATTAATTTTCCGATAAATTACTAAAATGTAACATAGACTCATATATTGACAATTTTTTAATTATTTGCTCAGTTCCTTACTGAGCTTTCATGTCTCTTCTTGAATTTAGAGGTTGATTCACTATCTATGAATAAATTCTACCCAACAGCATTTCTCCTTCTCAATCATTTAACCAATAAACTTTGTTGGTAATGAAATATTACCAAATGTTTGTCTATTTGAGAAGTATTTTTATAAACATAAGGAAATGTCATATTTGTGTGTATGCATCCAGAATAAAAAAAAGAATTAGCTACTTCAGAAATAATGTTATTAGTTTATTATGGGAGTACACTATCTAATTTACAACTTGAGGCAGTAATTCTGATTGTAATGGAGCCTATCAGAAAATTAGAGGCAACAACACTTTCAGCCCTTTTTAGTGTCTGAAAACTAAAATTATAATTGTCTGAGCTTTCCTCAGACTTATTCTCCTACCTGTATTCACATATTTCTAATTATGGGAATAAAAAGAGAGACATCCCCCTTAAGAATAAAATGAGCCATATATTCTCAGATAGTATTTGTAAGGGTACCGTTGACTGAACTTAAGAAAAATCAAAATGCAACAGCATATGCTGGGCTGCAGCAAAAGGAGCGTGTCCGGCAGCTTGAGGGAGGTGATTCTCCCTCTCTACTCTGCTCTTGGAAGACCTCACCTGCAGTACTGCATTTATCTCTTGGGCCCTCAACACAGGAGGCATGTACACCTGTTGGAGCAAGTCCAGAGAAGGTCACGGAGCTGTGAAAGACAGCTGGGAGAGTTGGGGTTGTTCAGCTAGGAGAAGAGAAGGCTCCAGGGAGACCTTAGAGCAGCTTCTAATGCTTAAAGAGGGCCTGCAAGGAATCTGGAGAGGGACTTTTTTAGAAGGGAATGTAGTGATAGGACAAGGGGCAATGGCTTTAAACTGACAAAGGGGAGATTTAGATTAGATATTAGGAAGAGATTCTTTCCTGTGAGGGTGGTGTGGCACTGCACAGGTTGCCCAGAAAAGCTGTGCCTATCTCATCCCTGTAAGCGCTTAAGGCCAGACTGGATGGGGCTTTGAGCAACCTGGTCTCTTCAGGGTACAACACACTGCATGAAAGCTTTCAGAAACTGGGCATTTGTGCAGTAGATCGAGTATGTGTGACTTCTACAAAGTTATTCAGCCGCCTGCAAAAGAAAGGTAGGCTGATAAAAATTAAACATGGCCTCAGTATTTCCTGAATTTGTTTGGTTGAGAGATAATAATTTTGGCAAAAGTTCAGAAAGAAAAGAATGAAACACAGTAGAGTACAGAAAAAAATTAAAGCGGAATATTTAAAATAGGCCAATTACTAATGGGATTTTTTGTCTGTAAAAGACACCCCCTGTTAATTCCCATTTCTGACTTTCCCCTGAAATCATTTTGGCCACTCTCAGAACTGTCAGGAGCCTATCAATGTCTCTGAATCGAATGCATGAGTGTTGTCAGTTTCCACTTCATTCTATAGTGTTAAAAAGCAAATCAGTGCAATTTTAGAAGGAGTATCCATTTGATAATCTTGAACACAATACAATGCCTGGATGGCATAAAGTTAATATATGAATATTAACTTTTAAAATCTGTAATTTATGTAAGACTAGACATGTCTCTGCTTGGTGGTAGTCTGTAAACGAGATGGGCTATTTTCTGTCAACTCTACTGATAAAAATTCCTGTAAGACTTCATGTAATAAAAAGAAACCTTGTAAAGAGTGAATAAAAGACAGCAGACACCTATGGTGGGATCTATCTCACCAAATTTTTGGCACCTACATTTGAATGAAGATAGAGTTGTTTTCTTGAGGTATTTCTCTCTATTGCCTGAGCAGGGAACTGAGGGTAATGCAGTCCACTAAGTTAGGGCAAATGAGTTTCATTTCTGGTGTGAAAGCAGGATGCCAATACAGATTGCTGTTTGTAGGATGCATCTGTTGGAGGATGCTGATACAGTGTGGAAAGAGAAAGAAACATTTTTGGTATTTATTGGAGAAGTAAAGGCTTGATGCTGCAGACACCGAGGCTCTATGACTCCCATTGGCTTGGAGAAGTAGTGATGGTGCTTTGTACCTCACACTACTACAAGTTTAGCATGTTGCCTTCCTCCTGTGTGCTGAGTGCCTGCTGCAAGGTGCTGAGCAGCCTCAAACCTCATTAAAGTCGTTGGATAGAGCCCTTAGCTATCTCAAGAGATGAAGCTGCACTATTTATACTCTAGGAACATATGTATACTGTACTATTAGTGCTAATATTTTTGTCAGAACACTTTTTTAAAGAAAAATGTGAGAACATTTGTGGGCAGTAATCACAAAACAGGGTTGACAGCTCCTTCCTTCTCTTACTCAGTCACAAACATTTTTCCTTTCAACAGATTATGAAATGTAAATGGAACTGGTCATCTTCAGAAACTAGTGTGATTTGGTTGATAATACGTGAATACCGAAAGGGAACTGACAAGGTTATAACCAAATAGAAACTGATACTAGCAGGGTGCCTGCGGCCCCGACTTGAATTGAAAGAGGAGCTACACAGCCTGACAGTAGTACCTGTGAGCAGGGAGTGCATACTGCATTCACATACTTCTCCAAAGGGGACTAAGCCACTCTCTTCCATTGCCACCTGCCTAGCAGTTCTATGTCAATTTTTATTTCACCAATAGCCTTCCATAGTCACGGAAGTCAATCAATAATGAGGAATACATATTTAATGTTAATACCAAATGTTATTACAAAACTATCCTAGGTCTGTGTAATGACCTGTTTAAAAGTGGAGCAGCCATGACAATGGAACCTATTTTTAAGATAGATGAGACAACAGAAACATCTACAGCACATATCATCTATCCTAGCTGGAAAAGCCAAGACCAAATCAACAATAACCCTTCCTCAGGGCTGAGACCTGTGCAGGAAAAGCTCTCTTTCCACACACACCATGCTTCATACTCCCTGATACTAAGCCATGGGATCTCAGGCAAGAAAATCTACTGGATATTGAAATTTCAGAACAAGAAGTATGAAATTACAGGAAGGAATAATAATGTCACTAAATTGTTTTGTCGCCCAGAAAATTACTTGCTCAGATACTCACATAGAGCTGTTTGTTGCACTTGATCATCAATGAATCATCATCAGGCCCAAGCTGCCTGCATCAATCTTATCAACAGATAGTGTAGTAACTTGTGCACGTTCTCCATCTCTGTCATCTCTACAGAGCGTGGGATAAGAAAAAAAGATAAAGCAGAAAGCTCAAACATATCCTACCTGATGAATCACTGTAGTGAGGAAGATTTGTGTAATTACAAGCTCACTCATTCATTCAGAATAACATTACCTGCTAATGCAGTAATAAGTGCATGATAAAACCAGACAAAATCCACCTGAACAAGGTTTAATGACTCCTGGTCAAGTTTAATGACAAGGTGTTCCCCAGAGAGTTCCTCTTCTCAGCTTAAACATAGCTTGTTTTTAAAAGAGCAGCTCAGTTAGGAACTGCAGAAATTGACCTGTAATATTCTTTACCTTCTAACAATGATTATGAGCAACAAATAGAGATACAGCAAGTGCACAGGCCAGGCATTTTATTTTTGTAATTACTAAGTACTTTTACAAAGACTAATGCATCTGGAATTTTGTAAGCTAGATATATTTATGATCTGTGGGCAGTTCTCAATATAGTTATGATCTATCCTTGTATAGATAAATCCATTTTCTATTCAGGGTAAGTGAAGGAATACTTTCATGCTTGCTAACTTAGTAATGGCAAAGAATAGAAACCACCTTCCACATTGTGGATCAGCATGACAAGGCTGAAAAAGGTGCTCCATCCTGTAAGCCAAGATTTGTACAATGAGGTTTGAATACAAATGCACTCCTTTGGTGGACCTGTACAGCGTGTGCCAGGAAGAAACAAGGACATCAGAAAATCAAGGAGACAGAAAGAAAACACCTGGAATATGTAAACATGGCACAGAACAACAGAACTTGCTGCTTGGCCTGAGCAAGACTCTGGATAATACAGTCGCTGGAGTCTACTGTCAGATGACTTTGGGAAAGACACATGGTTCAGAATGAGCAAAGGACAAGGTCAGCGGTCAGAGCAGGATTAGGACACGTGAGAGGACACCTGGACCAGTATAATGTGACATACCAATGTCTTCAAAGCAATGTTGAGAAAATTTGGCACCTCAGCTGCAGAAAGAAATGGAAGAAAAGGATCCAGACTGCAACAGCCAAAGGTGTTTAGGATCAGGACAGAAGAGGATTCGGGATCAAGAGTGAAGGGCAATACAGGAAAACAAGAACAGGGCTCAGCTCCATCTCCAGTTAGTCCAAAGCCAATGGGAAATCTTTCAACAGACATCCAAGGCTTGGATCTCCTTTGTATGTGAGCGTTTGCCAGTTCTGCACAATTCACCACAGCATTATAGGCATTTAAAAACATTTGCTTTATGTGAGTGAAAGACCCAGTCTGGAGGCACAGTGCTGTGTCAGGGCAGTAGTGTGCAGGCTTGGCGTTATGTCTGGTCACTCATTTCAGAACTTACTGTGTTTGAGGAATCAAGATATGTTTATATTCTCTGCATACAAGTAGGTCAGGACCAAAACCCACTTGACTCTATTACGTTTCTGAGAAATACCCCACAAATTTCCAAATATTGGCTAACCACTGGAACTATAAAAAAGAGATAATAACATGTTTAATTTTAACAACCTGAATAGTCCTATCGAATGTAGATATGCGAACACATTCCTGAAAGCCCAGGCACCGAAAAAGCTAATCGTACATTAATTATTTACAGTGTGAAGGAGATAGATTTTAATAACACATTTAAACATATCTAAAACTATTCTTTTTTTTCAATGTTAGTACAAAAAAACCCTATTAACTTTAAAATGTTGGCATCTGTGTTGATTTATTGAGATTGCCTACTTCTGTAGCAGTTAAGTGGTTATTTACAAATTGTGTAAAACTGTCTGATCAGCTAAACCACTGATCTTTTTTCAGGTAAAAAGCAACTGCTTTCTGTAAACAAAATCAACAATTATGCCCAATTTGAAACATGTGAAATTATAATGTTAATGAGCCAATGTGCATGATACTAAAAGGCCACTAGTCTTACCCACAAGAAGACTTTAGTTAGTTCTCAGTCAAATTAACAGACGTGGCAAGTAAGTTACACCCCTTCCTGAAACCTAATGTTGATGTTTTTCTTACAGAAGACAAATCTTAACATTTTAAAGGAGGAAGTTATGCAAACATTCTTAATAAAATGCGAATAATTGCTATGGCAGATACCCTTAAAAGCATTAATACATCTATAAAGCATACATAGAGAATTGCACAACACTGGTTAAAGTGTTGTATTTTTTAGGTACATGGTGCATGGCTAACCTGTGCAACTTTCTAGGTATCTACATTAAAAAAGGGATCTGAAGCATTGCAAGGATCTAGTCCTATAAGGTGACAAATGAGAGGCAGCTGGTACTGATTTCTAAAGAGGAGCACAGCACGTCTATAACTTCCCTGAATAGGAAGATAAAAAGCAGAGCCATGAGTTCACAGAATCACAGGGTTGAAAAGTACCTTAAGATCGTTTAGTTCTAATCCCCCTTTCAAAACTGGACAAGAATTTAAGGAACAAACACCAGCTAAATTCTGGGGTGTTTATTCATCTTACTCAGGAAGTACATAGCTGCCTCCTTGAACTTCAAGCTGAATTTAAGAATCATCTCTGAAAAGTAGATCTTGTCAATCTGCACTGGATGTAACTAGAAGCATAGGTGTGTTGCAAGATTACTCCAGAGAAGAATAATTGAAGCCTCTTGACTGCCAGAGATAATGAAAAGAATCTACTGCCTGGCAGTCCAGGAACAGAAATGCATCCAAAAGGACTGATAGTTTCAGCAAAGAGCTGGCACATAACATCGACTAATAGGGTAGACTTACATTTTTTTCATTCCTCAACAGTTCTCATGGCAAAGCATTACTTCCATCTTACTCAGATCTGCACGTTAACAGGCACATGTAGGCTGGAAGTCCAGTTTGGTCTTGCTAAATGTGAAGGATTATCTTCTGTTCATCTCAATGGGTTTCACTTTTTGTGAAATGATAGCTCATGAACAGAATGGGAAAGGGACATAGCTGAGTATTAATTTTAATGGTCACACAGTACAGAACATCCTAGACATTCCCTTTCAGCGAGGGGATTGCACACTGCTTGATGAGCCTTAAGTAGTGCTTGATGAACTATTATACCTCACTGCCATTTTATATCTTCAAGTAGTTTCTAGTGAAAGCGTGGAACTTCTGAAAGCCATTTTGCCACAGTATTAATGATAGTAAAATCTGTGCCAATGTGAGGAAGGTTTGCTGAATGCTACACAGTTGTGTGGTTTAATTTTTTTCAATTATTTCAATACTTTCAGTGTTTTCTGGGGTGGGGGGAATTTTTTCTCCTAGTGCTTTCATTAGGCCCTACCTTGAGTGAGGAACCATGGGGAAGACCATTTTTCTGTTCCAGCATGGTTTTCAAAACCTTTTGGGGCCCTCCCAAAAATTAGCTTAGTGATCTTCTGTGTGATAAATGTGCAAGCTTTTGCCATTAAAAAAATCCAGTTATTGTAAATTACTGGTATGTGAACAGCATCATACAGCAGCAGACCCCAGTTCACAGTGTGGCAGAGATGAAGCTAGAAGGGTGACTCAAGTCTCTTTTTAGGGATAAAAATGCTTTAAGGATTGCAGCACCTCATCTCAGGTTTTATAAATTACAAGTTATAATGCAGGCATATTACTTTCTCTTCTCACCCCCATGACTTTCGATAAGTGTTTGTAACAACTCAGAAAGGCAATGAGAATATAGAGAATGCTACATTTGAAAGAGCTACATATATTCACTGCAGCAAATCAGTCAAGTCTATAAATCATATTTTGATCAGCAGAATTAAGAGTAGATAATGTAGTAATGCTATCGCAGTAGCAGATCTCACAAAAGCAAGATAAAAGTTTCCTAAGTATTACCACCATACACCACTTCATTATATTATTAGCACTGAGTGGAAGTGAGTAGGGGCAAGCACAGTAGTAACAAAACCACATGGCTGTCTCAGAGATGCCTGTTATTTTCCAGTATAAATTCAGGAATTCCCAGCGTAGCATTGGAACAGTGACTAGCCTTTTAGAATGTAATTGTGATGCCAATGCCTCCTTCAAGTAGACAGAGGACGAGAGTACATAATGAAACAAAAGTATGCATCAGTTTGAAGGGTATTGATCTGTCAGAGAAACCGTGCAGTGTGATTTCATTAGCCTATTTGGACCTAGATGTATCTGTCACACGGCACTCCATGACTTAACATCTAGCAATCCCATTGAAACTGATTTCCGCACTAGAACACAAACCAAAACAATATGATGAGATTCCTCTCCAAGTTGAAACACACACAGACACAGTTTTGTTTCTAATTTTGAGAAGTGACATTTATTTTGAGGGTCACAAAACCCACTGCTTACCACAGTTGACTTTTTATCTGTTGCATCCCTTGAGCAATAAATGACATTCAGGCCCAAATTCAAAACCACTTTCTTTAGCTGCCAGCTGTACCTTTTATACTTAACTAGTTCTTCAGCAGTCTTGGAAAGACCAATTTTAAACATTTGTTTCAGAGAAGCTAACATCTGAAACCAATACGGTGGAAAGAATAATCAATCTTAAAATATAAAAATAAAATTAAAAAGAGTAAAACAGCTTGAAACTTCTATGATAAGTGAAATACATAAAAATACAAATGTAAATTCCAAAGCCTTTAGATGGAATTTAGCTAATGACTTTTTTTTTAAATTACTTATATTTCCAAGAACTGAACTGCTTTGAGACTAACCTTTACCTGGAACGAGAGAAATAAAAGGAGACACTCCTTCCTCTCCCAAGTAATAAAAAAAATCTATCCATAAATTTAGGTTAGAGATAAACATAGTTAAGATAGGTTCCATAGACTAAAGGGCTTCATAGACCATACAAAACAGCAGTGGGAAAAGGGAATCCTGAAGACCGTTAATCTTTACCAGAGACCTAATGTGGGTTCAGAAAGACGGGCAACCTCCAGCTGAATATAGTAAGAGATATCAAGGCCGGTAAGTCGAGGGGAAAGAAGCACTTACAACAGTGTGCAGTCACCTCGGGATGTCACAGCCCCAGGCACAGTAACACCCACCCCGCAAGGGCCACGCAGCAGCTCCTACCCGTTCTCCCTGCGGGGAAAGCCGGAGGCCGGGTGAAGGCAGCGGCGGTGCCCTCCCAGATGCGTGTCCTCACCGCACCCCGCCGGGCTCCGCTCACCGCTCCCTGGGCTAGCGGGGAGCAGGGTGAGAGGCAGGTGCATCCCCTCCCCTGAAGGAGGGCAGCGGAACCAGTGCAAGGGGTGAAAACAACCGAGCGGCTCCTCCGCAACCGGCCAACACCAGCCCCCGAGGAGCGGCGGTGAAAGCCCGGTAGAGCCTCGGTGAGGCCCTTTCCGGGCACCGCGGCCGCGCTCCCGCCGCTACAGACAGAGCCATAGCCAGGTGGGAAGCAGGGCCCAGCGCGGGGGTCCCCATCAGCGAACCCCGACGCTGCCCGACCCCACCCGCTCCGGGCAGCCGGGCCGGGGGAACCGTGGTCTCGTGCCCGAAGCGCCTTCCTACCCCTCTGTCCGGGCAAGGCGCCCCTTCAGCGCTATCCCCGCGGTGGCGTGGCGCTACACGGCCCGCCCAGCCCCCAGCGGCCGCGGCGGGGACCGCGGCACAGCAGAGCCGAACCCAGCGGCCTCCCCCCGCCGCGCCGGGCGGCTATTTTTAGTAAATCCTCCCCGCGTCGCCACGGGTTGCCGCGAACGCAGCGCGCAGCTCCTCGCCAGCTGCCGCCGCCCCGCCCTCCGCGCACGGCACACGCTCGCCCGCCGCCGGCGAGATGGCCAGCTAATCCCCGAGGCAGCAGTAGTAGCAGGCGCCGCAACTTTCCCTCCCCGCTCCGATCCTGCCCCGCCGCGCCGGTGGAAGATGGCAGTTGGGGGAAGGATTGGAAGTTGCAGCCCGCGAGCGAAGAGATAAGGCGGAAGGAGGCGCAGGAAAGTGAGTGGCACCGGCCCTGAGTTCTGCCCGGTCCCCGGCCGTTGTCTGTGACCTGCTGGGGTGGGGTTTTGGGAGACCTTTGGAAGGGTTTGGGTAAGTTGGGCCGTGTCAGGGCGGGCAAGGTGGTGGTGTGGTGTGTCGTGTCGTGTGGGAACAGTCTCCCCCCCCCCCCCCCCCCCCGGCAAGTTTCGCTTCGCAGGAGCGTGAGTGGAAAAGGAGTTTTCTGGGCGTCTGCTCTGCCTGCCTGGTGCGTGCGCGCCGTACTTGGCCCGGGAGCGGGGTTCCCTTGCCGTGTCCCCCTCCTGTGGGGTGCCGGGCCGCAGCTCCGGGCGGGCAGGGGCCGGTTGCTGGAGCCCCAGCGGGCAGGGAGAGCGCTGGAAGCTCCCCAGGGTGTGCTGGGTAGCGGGAAGCAGGGGAGGGCGCCGGGGGAGCTGCCCCCCGTCGGGACCCAACGGGAGCAGGTGGGAACGGAGCGGTCGGCAGGGTGCTCGTCAGTCAGGCACCGCCGCTGGGCTCATGTCGGAGCGGCCCGGAGCAGGCGGTGGCCGGAGGGCGGGCAGGATGCATGCCATCCCGGCAGTGGGGTAGCGTGGACAGAGTTCTGTGCAGATGCATGTTCGGTGTATGCGTCCTGGCAGGGCAGGTTCCAGGGTAGCATGGCTGGGCATCGGACGGTTGGGTGGTTTCCAGCAAGGGTACGGTTGTTTTGACTCCCATAAAATGCCTGGATTTTGATCAGAAATGGAATATAATAGCAGGCAGTAGTCATCCATGCTTATCACTGTTACAGAGAGAAAAAAACAGGTATTACGTGTAATGCACAAAGCGTGTATTCATCTTTGATAGATTTAGCCTGAGCTCACGGCAGTTTGTGTTTCTAAGTGATCCGAAGGGGTCTAAACCCACTGTTAGACTACATGAGGATTTAAGAGGGGATGAATATTTAAAAGCCTGAACAATGACAAGGAAGTAGGAAAGTGAATTGTGGAGACCTATTGACATATGAAAATGCGTGAATGTGCTTTTCTCATGCAAAAGCTGTTGAGAATCTCTGTCAGAAACAGCGCAAAACAAGTGCTGAAACAGAAACTGAGGAATTTTAAACATATTTGTCTTTCAACATTGCCAGCTTTAGTTCCTTGATGCTTTGTTTTCTGTGACAGAATAGTTTTGTGACAGTTACTCGGGATTTAATTTGCAAGCTCACAAAGGCCTGTAAGCTCTGCTGAGAACTCATGAGCAAAAGGAAAGGTATTTCACATTAATGTTTTTCAAATACCCTTCCATATCTCCCTTCTCTCGTCTCTTTTCCTCCATCCCCCCTCAGCTCCTGAGCAGCTTTCCTAGTTCTACTGAAGATAATTAAAATTATCTTTTTATTGAATGTTTCTCAATTTTTTTTCTCATGTCTGGTGCATTCCTGTATCAATGCCCTCTGCCTACATATGTTTTGTACCCAGAACGCCTACTTTGTTGAGAGACAAATGCAGGCTTGTTCTCTGTCATAATACCGGAGCAGTCTTGGAAGGCACTTCCATCCCTTCATACATTTCAGTTGCATGGTTATTTGTATAAAATAAATACCTCAATAATATATGACTCAATGATGCAAATAATACACTATTTTAACTCCTGTTTTTCATTATGAGGGCAGAGAGATGATCCAAAACATTGGGAAAAAACTTGCCATGGCCTCAGTGAAAACCTGAGATCAGTCATATTTACCTACCACTGGTCCTAACTTCATACAAATATTGAAATAACTCTCTTTTGTGTGCAAATGTCATTGTCAGTTCAGAACTCTGAAAGCGAGAAAAACACTTGGTGACCGAGTTGGTACAAGTGCAGCACCAGAGTTAGTTAAGCCTACCTAGAACACTATTCTGGGTGTCAGATTCCTTTGTATTTTGGTATCAAAGTCTACGTGAATGTGTAAAACACCCAAATATTTTCAACCTGATGTTAAAATGGCAGTTTTGAAAAGAGTAGTGTTTGTTTTTCCATTAATCTGCTTTTCCACAAATGAAGAGCAATCTACAGGGTGCAATGGGAACAGTATTTCGTAAGCTGTTGTGTATCTTCTGTTTACCACCATCTTCCTGTGCCCAGAGCAGATTAAAATGGAAAGTGAAATTGTGTCTTCACTACCGAAAGTCCCAATACATGCTTCATTTGCTGCAGTTGTTCCTATTCAAATTTTCCTGGGAATAAAAGGCAATATTATGATTCAGTGGCATGTAACATTAAAAAGAGATTCAGTTATAAAAAATATGTACTTTCTAAAAATCATTTAAAGTGGAAAATAATTTTCATTTGTTCATCTCACTACCTGAGATAGTCCCATGGAAGTTGCTGTTAAAAATGTAATTTACATCCTGAAAATACTGATCAAATTCATGTTTACCCATCATGAAAATGATATGAATGCCAGTTTGAATTACCATGAATGCAGGGGGTCATGACTAGTTGGATTAGTTAGTTTCTTAGTATTCAACTAGTGCTTGGTAGGAGAAATATAGTTTTGAAGATACTTGAATCCTGTGTGTATGAACAACTACAACCAATGAAAAATTACAGAAATGTTGAGATGTTACCTGGTCACCTCCAAAACGGTAAATTAAGCATGTATTCACCAGACTGCGTGTACTGCTATTGTTTCATGTAATCAATATTCAGATTAGATAATTTAAAGCTACTTAAGGTATGTGTATACAAACTGCAATAGACAGTACTTCTGATTTACAGTGTAGTCATAGCTGAATCATAGCTGAGAGAGGTTACTGTATCTCAGGAGTGAGTGTTTTTTCCCTTTTACAGAAGGTGTTTGAAACAGATTTGCTGAGGGTTATATGCTATGTCCTGTATGCATCTTGTTTATGTGAAATTAGTTTTCCATAGGAATTTAAGTTAATGAGTACTTACCAGTTTTCCAGGTTCTTCTAGGGTGAATAAGAAACTTTTTTTCCTGTTGCTGCATTTAAGTAGGAAGGTACATAATGCATTTGCTGGTTTGAATTAAAGATAGCTCTCATGTAAAGACAGAACATTGGACTATTCCATGAGGAAATCTGTTTGTCATGCTTCGGGCTTTCAGCAGTGATTTCCAGAGAAGAAAGCTTTTTTTTTTTCTTTTTTTTTTCCCAGAGAAAGTTACATTACTGAATCACTTAAGTTTAAATTGTTTACTGAAACTGGTATGTGAGTAAGGCATATTAAAGCTATCATTACTTGATGAAATTATGTTTCATTTGCTCCTGGTTTTGAGTTTTTAGGTTAGGATTCTCTTACATGACCAACTAATCTCTCACTTATTTGATGTGGCTTACTTGGAATGAATGCATTGCGAATGAGAGTGTATGTTGGGTAAGGCTGCACTAGTGTTGACCTTTACACAAATCCAGGTAGATGACATCAACTGCTCTACCCCTGTCCATCAGTTCCATAGCCCCATCATAGAAGGCCACCAAATTGGTCAGGCAGGATTTCCCCTTAGTGAAGCCATGCTGGCTGTCACCAAGCACCTTGTTGTTTTTCACGTGCCTTAGCATGCCTTCCAGGAGAATCTGCTCCAAGATTTTGCCAGGCACAGAGGTGAGACTGACTGGTCTGTAGTTCCCCAGGTCATCCATTTTCCCCTTCTTGAAAATGGGGGTTATATTTCCCTTTTTCTGGTAGTTGGGAACTTCACCTGCCTGCCATGATTTCTCAAATATGATGGCCAGCGGCTTAGCAACTTCATTCACCAGCTCCTTCAGGACCCGTGGGTGGATCTCATCAGGTCCCATAGACTTGTACATGTTCAGATTTTTAAGATGGTCTCGAACCAGATCCTCTCCTACAGTGGGCCCAAGGTCTTCATTCTCACAGTCCCTGTGTCTGCCTTCCAAGACCTGGGTGGTTTGGTCAGAGCCTTTGCCAGTGAAGACCGAGGCAAAGAAGTCGTTCAGAACCTCAGCCTTCTCCAAATCCTGTGTAGCCAGTTCTCCCAAGAGCTTCCTCCCCAAGAACATAGGGGGCCTATGTTCTCCCTAGTCTGTTTTTTATTTGCTATGTACCTGTAGAATCCTTTCCTGTTATCTTTAATATCCCTAGCCAAATTTAATTCTAACTGGGCCTTGGCTTTCCTAACCTGCTCCCTAGCTTCCCGGACAGCATCCCTGTACTCTTCCCATGCCACCTGTCCTTGCTTCCACTTTTTATAAGCCTCTGTTTTCATCTGAATTTTCCTCATCAGCTCCTCATCCATCCAAGGAGGTCTCCTGGCCCTCCTGCTGCACTTCCTTCTAGTTGGGATGCAACACTCCTGAGCTTGTAGCAGGTGATCCTTGAATATCAACCAAGACTCTTGGGCCCCCCTGCCCTCTAGGGCTATAT